AAGCCAGCTAAAGCGAATTACTCATTCATAATTTAATGTAAGCCATATTTCATATTTTGTTCGGATTATACTGTTATGGCCTAAACGTGAACAACTCGGAAAAGCATACTTTGCCTCTAAACTCTGATAGTTAACTGCTAGTTTCACATTTCCAGCCGTATAGATTTCTCTTTCGCTGCCTCTTCACTCATAATTGGTCGTGATAAAAAAAAATATCTCGGATATCATTTCCCTCACAGCTGTCAGCTAGATAAGCAGAGCGAGAGAACACTCTTCAAAGGGAAACCCGATTTCTCTCTCAGATAGGAATATCGCATAAGCAGATGCTGTGTAAACAATGGTATCGAATGCTTCTTATGCACCTTTCCGAAGCACGTGTTTGCCATTGTAAAAGAGGTTTATAGGTTGAAGCTTTGAATGTTGCCATACATTCTGAAGAATGTTACAAAATTTGCAAATATCTGTTTGTTTGTTTTAGATAGCGAGTTTGAATTATATTGTTGCGGCTTAGAGATTTATTCTCGATAATCTAAATAAACAGCTCGATGACAAGGAAAATCTGACCTTTTGGAGCTAAAAAACAGTTATACTCAGTTCAATATGAAAAAATGTAAAAGATAGCTCCAGAATTTCTGAAGATACCACAGTAAAGAGAAAATTTATCGTTGAACAGAAACAAAAGTCCGTAAACTGAGTGAGTCCTTGACGCACAGGAACATCAGGAGCAAAAGTCACTGAAAATATGCTTTGAAACTGGACACGTCGAATGGAAAAGATACGTTAAAACAAGCAATTTTACCATTAAAGGATGTTAAAAAAGTTTTTTTTTATATGCATATATATAAACTAAACATATTATATATATATATATATATATATATATATATGTTGTATGATCTTAAATTCACTTAGTGCGAAATTGAGTTATTCTACTACTTGCGCAATTGCTGCAAAGTAAGTTAATAATAATTTATTTACTAAAGAAATATTGATTATATTATCTCCTAAGATTAATTTTAGTAGGATTATCTTAAAAGAGTGAATCCATACTTAGTAAGTTCAATTTTAAAAATTCTTTTAAAGTAACTTGAATGTAAATTGTTAAAAATGTTTAACGGGAGCTTGAATTAAATCATGCATAACAAAATTTCAATTGTAAAAAGAAATAAATTAAAAGCATGTAATTAAATTAAATGCAAGTAATCATTGCCATTGATCGGAAATTAGTTGACTTTTCAAGGGGAACAAACCAACTCCCGTTCAATGAACAATAATTAAGAAATAAATACGAAGGTGTTTCGTCCTTTACTCGAGCAATAAGGTGATGCCAAACCGGCAATTCAAGCTAGGCCTAACATTTCCGTGAATAGAAGGGTTGGCATCGCCTTATTGCTCGAGTAAAGGACGAAACACGTTCGTATTTATTTCTTAATTATTGTTCATTGAACGGGAGTTGGTTTGTTCCCCTTGAAAAGTCAACTAATTTCCGATCAATGGCAATGATTACTTGCATTTAATTTAATTACATGCTTTTAATTTATTTCTTTTTACAATTGAATGTTTGTTATGCATGATTTAATTCAAGTTCCCGTTAAACATTTTTAACAATTTACATTCAAGTTACTTTAAAACAATTTTCGAAATTGAACTTACTAAGTATGGATTCACTCTTTTAAGATAATTCTACTAAAATTAATCTTAGGAGATAATATAATCAATATTTCTTTAGTAAATAAATTATATATATATATAAGATAAAAAAATATGAAAGCAAACTTCTAAATTTAATTCACTATAACTTCTTTTATTTCTTATTTCATTTGGAAACTTCATGGCTCTGTCCTAAAAATAGCGCTTAAGTCTAAACTGCGCCATTGAAATTAATCATGCGATCTTACGTAACCCTTCATACAGATGCCTCTTGACCAATCACCGACTTGTAAACCAAAACTAAAACTGAAACTTTTGACTCCCTCCCTTCTTTCTACGAACTGATGCGTCACTTTTGCTTGTGCTTTCCTCTTGGCCAGATGCCTGTCTGCAATCATGTGTGTGCTACTATATTCGCTTCTATGGCAATAATATCAAAATTTTAAATGTTTCTTAATAGGCACGAGTAGAGTGCCAAGTGAATTGTGGTCGCAAAATGAGAATTTAAATAAAAAAGGAATTTAATCCGGCTCGACTGCTTATTCTTCAAAATGGATGGATGGTTTAAGCATCAAGTATCTACGCAATTAGTATTTTTACGCATCTGCGTCTCAGGGCTCTTATTTCTGCCTCCAAAAGTGTTCTGTCATTTCATACATATATATAATCAGGGCTTAATTTCTAAAATTAGAAGTACCGGAGCTCGATGGAAGACTGTGAGGAACGAAATACAAAAATAGCTAAAAATTAAAACAATTAAATCATTAAATTTAAATTAAGAGAAATATAAAAAATTGTTAAATTAATTTTTAATAGTTAAATAAAAAAAAATTTGAACCTTGTCTTATTTGGAGTACTGGCTGGAATTACAATTCCACTTAGAAGCTAAGAAGCAGTTCAGTCAATCTCCATTTAAATTTAAGCCCTGATTGCACGTGTAATGTACTATTCCAAGGGATGATAGGCACCACGGTTTTTTTGCAGCACAACAACGAAAAAATATAAAACGATTAAAGCTCTATTAAAGACAATAGTGAGAATTCTAGAAACAATATGAGAATATGGAATGAAACGTTAACTGAAAAGTGTAGCTTTAGAAATAAAGAAGGAAAAGTGGAAGACTTTCTGATCGCGATGCCCTGTTGATATATTCTAGCCGTCAAGCAGAAATTCTTCCTGAATACGGTTAGGTAATAACTTGAGAATAGACGCAAGACTTTTCTATACAAGGGACAGCAGTGGTCACATCGTTTGGTTACATAATTCTGTAATAGTGCAGGAGCTCTGCAATAGGAAGTCACTGTCGTGGAACGTGCATGACCAGAGTATCGCTTTAGTACTTTGAGGAACACAAAATTTGCCCGCTCTCATAAATTCATTACACATTCTGGAGAATAAGCCTTTGGGCATATGATTGGAAAGCTTTTTTTTCCCTTGAAATCTCAACCTTTGTGTTCTTGAGTGCGAGGGAAAGACAGGTTTGCATTCAAAAGTTAGAATTGACTTTTAAGGCATGTTTACTATTAAAACAAACTTTATCTACTAAAATTGTGGTTCAATTACGTAATTAAGCCCTTTTATTTAGGGCTCCGGTGCGCTCCGGCAGAAATTATAATTTATCTCGAAAACTGAGAAGTACCGGAGCCGGGCTCCAGTGGGTTCCAGCGCAATTTAAGCTCTGTATATAATATAATATAAAATATCTACCTTTCTAATAATAAATTAACAATAGCCCTTTAACTCCTCTTTTAAATTTGAGCACGCTTCCGTCCACATTCTAAAAATAGCAAAACAATAACTTTTCTAATACAATCCTTACTTTCTATAATTTTGAAAAGTGATACGTCATCTGATCTCTATTGAGAAATTTTTCCTGAAAGGCGATGAAATCTTAAATCAGCATCAGACTTATTAATCTGTTATGCATTTGAAATGGAATTCGCTTAAAGTAAGCATACTTGTAATGTGATTCGAAATGTAATCTGTTTAATGAAATCATACTTTGGTATAAAAGGCGTTTGCTGCGCAATCTCGCTCTTCGTCTGTCGCCCCTTCTTGGTCGCCTCTTTTTTCTTCCCCCTTTTTCATCTTGCTGTTAGCCATGCAGAGTTTACTTTCCGTTTCGTCCATTGTCTAAGAAGATGTACAAAATTGTGGGGTGCATATCGCACCCATAAATGATGGTTGTGAATCTGTTTATGCGTATCATGGCTTGCTCTATTAGGAAAATAGAATTATGTCTTCAAATCAGTGGCCACGTCTGAAAAGCTTTTCTTTTCCGTTTTCTCATCTTAAGTATCCACGCAACTGTTTTTCGAATCCTGAAGTTATGTAGCTAAATCATTACACATATAACCAATTTAAAATGAGAGTTTGCAGAAAGGGTTGGAATTTTTTTGCGGAGAAGAGGGGAGGTAATCTTTAGGAATATATCGTAAAATACAGGTATTTTAACGGTTACAATTATTTGAAATTAGCATCAGTTGAACAATCAGCAATTTCAACAATACTAATGCCTTACGCACCCACCAGCGGCCGGGCGGTAAAGTCGTTAAACACCGGTAGTTCGACGTGAGTTCGATTCCCGGCAACCCGGCTGGCTGCTTAGGCGTTTTCATGGTTTTTATCACATGTAGTGTGGATGATAGCCAGTTTCCCTTAGAAAGCCCTCCCCTTAGGCAAATAGCCCTTGTGTATTCTGCCGTAATCAAATTTAAAAAAAAAATTATTTTTTTTATATATATTTTCGAATTTAAATACACGAAATAACAGTAATTTTCAAAGTCAAAAATAAAAAAGTAAAAAAAAAAAAAAAAGTGGCAGTTTAGAATTCTTAGAAATTATTTTACAACTAAACATGAGATGGTTAAAAAAAATCTTAGATTTTGTTTTGTTTTGTTTGTTTGTTTGTTTGTTTATTTCAATGGTTTTTGATTTCGAACCTTATGTTAGAGCAGTGTGGCGGTATTTTCAATGAAAATATATGTGCATAATCCTGCATCTACATTAACTAATTACTACTCTCCTTCTATTCCTGTATGCTGTGAGTTTCACGACGTTTATGGCAGGCATCGAAACATTATTATACACAGTTCCATTCTCAGACACCATTTTATACGAAAAAAAATTTTGGAGAGCGAACGATGACGAGACCAAATACAAAACTATACATCCAAAAATTCAAAACGCCAATTTGAATAAATATATTTTCCGGTGAAATGGGGAATATATATTTTTTAATTCTTTAATTTTAATCCTTCAAATACAATACAAGTTAATTATTATACCGCAAGTACCCGTGAAAAGCAGCAAATAATCATATTTTCTTTTTTTTTCCTTCTTTCTTTCAGTGCTGTTGACGTTTTCGACAAGTACGCGATGGTTACCTAACAGTTGGTTCTTTGCGACAATTTTACCGCTTTCGTAATGGAAAGAGTGCATCAACACATGTAAGTACTTCTAAACACGAATGCCATTTTCTTGCTAAAAATCTCCTATTCCCGTACAATTTTCTCGCAGCACCAAATTGCCGAAAGTTAATGCCCGTCTTTTTCTTGACTTTATTTATATGCTGTGTAAGTGCACAGTATGCTATAATAAAACAGAAGGAAAATATCTAATATATGAATCAAAAAGGCGGGAGGTCAATAATTATTGTTCTTATTGTAATTAATATATTGTAAAATCTGTTAACTTTGCTGCAAGACTAAGAAAAAGAACTCGTGGGCTACGCGCAACCCACCAAGGGCAACATGATTACCTCCGAACTGAAGTAATCATATAATAAAACAAGTGCATAAATGCAGTGCAAGTGTATATATCATTTTTAGCAATATAAAAATGTAAAAACAAATATGCAATAATTTATAAAAATATAAAACAAATATACATTAATTTGTAAAAAAAATTAAACAAATTATTATGATTTCACATCGATACAAAATACAAAACTGACAAATTTTTAATTACGTTAATTTACAGAATTAATGTAATTAAACACATACATTAATTTAAAGAAAAAGCAAGTAGTTACACATACGTACAACAATAATTTATACATTTTTGATCAAGCCTATATTACAATCTGCTACTTTAAAATAGGCATTTCAAGGACGTTGGCAGCCCTCCCATTCGCGATAGTAATGAGTGTCAAAACTTCAATAACGTAACTAACTACATGGCATTTATTTTCTCTACGTCATTTGAGGCTGTAGTTCAAGGTTAGTCTTCATTCGCGTGTTTTGTCAGATTTGTTCGCGGGCATTTGAAAGAACTTCTGCTTTAAAATTAATTATTTAGAATTCTAGAAACAGAGCCCATTTTTTATTTGATCTTGTTTTAAAAAATGAATTATTGTTTATAGCTGAAAAACTATTAATGATTTCGTCTTTCCGATATCAACGCATATTTAAAGTATACAAGCCTGTTAAGTAAAATCAAAATATGTAAATTTATCATTCTGCAAATGTTATTAACATTGCATTCCAGTTATCTTGTATTAAAAAATTAAAACCCAACGGCAACACTTCTAATTCATAACATTTATTGACGGCTTTTGTATATAGTGCTACCAAACCCAATGTGCCATTTTATACATTAATTTTAAATATTCTTATGTAATGAAAAGAATAAGATTTTGGATTAAGCATTTTCCTTCAAGAATCAGCTGATGATGATACTTGCCAATTAGTTTGGACTGCCACAATAATTTATCTTTCTACTGCGTAATTTTGTTTTAGTGCAGTATCCAAACTTGCTGAACAGAAATGAAATGAGGTAAAAAAATTAAGCGACACAATTTTTTTCCCGCAGCTGTTGTTCCCATGGTTAGGGATCAAATCGAGCTGCGGAAAATAACCTTGAAGTTCCTATTTTAGAGTATTAGACTATAGAAAGAATGCAAAAAGATTCTGCCTTCAGTTTTTAAAAATGTTGACATTTTAAATCCTCAAGCATAACTTCTCCTTCTTCGGAAAAAAAAAAAAAAAAAAAAAAAAAAAAGTCTAAATTATACACCCAATTCACATGCGTTAACCACACAACTTCTTTAAATGTTTTTTAAATGAAACAAGAAAGAATTTAAATGTATATTTACCCGATTATTTCATTTCTTTAAATTACCAAAATTACCTCAATAACAATAAAGACTGTTGTCCCGCCTGCTTTCTAACTAAATATACCACAGCCAGGACCGATCCTAGCGGGGCAAGATGGTGAACAACACGTTGGGGGCCAAATGATTATCAAACGTATATTTCTGTAATAAAAAGCGAACAATTTTAATTTCCACGTGGGCGGCTGACGGTTTAGGATCGGCATTGATAACAATTCATATTAAAGATTTAGTAAAAACTATTTGTTCGCACATCAGGCTGGCGGTTACATAAACTCGAAACATTAACAGCAACAGAAATCATCTCTTTTTGAGTATTCAGAATACCGTTCAAATTAACTTGAATGCGAAATTCAAAATCAACACTAAGTTTCCTACTTAGCTTTGGCTTGTCCCTAAGTGGTCTCGAAGCAAAAGCGGCTAACTGAAGCTTAAAATGGGAGATGTTCTGTCTCTTTATCCAGATTCGACATATTTCTAATGATATATAATTTTACAATAATATGCATAAAATACTTCATAGATTTTCAAACGGAAGAATCCTTGAATTAATTTTACGACAGAATGAAATTAAACAGATATGGTATCGGTTACAAATTTCGAACCAAACGTATTTAATATCGGTTAAAATTCGAAAGTGGTCAGTTTGCTATTTGAAATTTTCCAGATTATTCCGACACAGAAACTTAGTAAATTCCTGTGTTAACTACATTTATCTATAAAACAATAAATAAATAAGAATTTAAGCAGTTCGCAGTTATAAATGATAACAATGTAATTCATATAACACTCCAACTCTTCGCTCCAGCATAATACCATTTGAAGTTTTTAAATATTTCTTATTTAATTGATTTAAAACATTCTGAAAACGAGACACAAGACAAATCCTAAATTTAGCCAGGGTAATTTTAACTTTTATTAAGATAGAAAATTCTACTTCTGAAGTTTGACTGTGATTATAAAAACTAGAATGTTTACTAACATTACTTAATCTTTCACATTCCAAGGCTCGGCAGAAAGCAGCAATTTGTTTTCTGATATTGTATTTATTCTTCGCGATGGGGTGGAATGCTTTCTCCCACCGAGTCAACTGTAAATAGTTTCTCTAAACAAATACCAACAGCAGAGATTTCCAAAGTAAGCATTTATGCCTCCTTATCGGTTTTATAGACTAAATTTGCGCAGAGTTCGAAACCCTTTGTTTTTCCTAATTCTCAAATTTGAAATTCGACCTTATACGTATTTGAATACCAGTTAATGGTAACCTATGACGTATGCTTACCACGAAAAAGTATTTCCAAAAAATTAAATATTTTCTGAATGTGTCTTTCAATTGTGAAATATTGTATATTCTTCACTGTTTAAGACCAGATTATCTCTTCTCTACATATAATAAAACAAAGAGTCTACCTGTGTGTGTGGTTTTTCGTTGGCGCTGCGCGTAAGACCCACGGCTACGAAATTTTGTACATAGGTGCATCTAGACAAGAGCCAGTGCACCTCGAAACGATTTTTTCGAAATTCGAATTCGAATTTTTTTTTTATTTTATGTTTTGTTACGAAATCGCGTCATTTTGAGACATAATGGACTATAGAAAATCGAGATTTTACTCTACACACTCCATTTTCACATCGTCATGAAACGTAGGCACTTAGCTATTTTACGAACTTAAAATAAATTTCGTGTTTCAATAAATCGATTAAATACGAATTTATTCAACAAAGGGAGCTTAACAACTTTTCAACAGGATTTTTCCTAAAAAGGTTTATTTTTAAAAATGTACAGTTTATTTTTCTTTGATTTTTGGAAACGTTAACTTTCATCCCTGCGACTGCTTTTACAAAAAGAATTTTGGAAAAATGATGATATTTTGTATTTTAAAAATTTTTTTTAAATGAAGCTTCCGAGTACACTTCTCACATCTCACATCTTTAAAAATGTGATTTTGGCAACAATTTTCCTGTCTTATTGTTGTTGATAGATTTTTGATGAAATCGCATCATTTTGAATAGTTTCATTCTTTTAGAAATATGGGTTTGGGAACAATTTTTCATCGTATTTCTTATGTCACTGTTTTTAAGAGTTTGGCATATTTCATTGTCCTTTATATATATCTAATACATTTTTATTGATTTTTTTTTTTTTTTTTTTTTTTTTTTTGATTGTTTTTAATTTTAGTTTTTTGTTCTGCCGCTGAGGCGCGGAATTTTCTGTTTTTTTGAGTGTTTTTTATTTCGTTTTTTTTTGCTTCTTTCATGTTTGTAAGATTTTGAAAAGTTTTGCATGATTTTTTTTTCTTCAACGGAAAGTTGGTTAATTTTTTATTAGGATAATTAATATTTGTATTAAGGAATATAGCTTATTTCATTGTATTTTTTCCTCTTGAAAATATAAGATAAAATATCATTAATTATACTTTGCTTTTCAGAATTTTTTGTTTTTTGTATTCTTCTATGTTATTTATTGCTCATTTCACTGTTTGTAATATATTGAAAGATTTTGCATGATTTTTTTTTTTTCTTCAACGGAAAGTTCGTTAATTATTTTATTAGGATAATTAATATTTGTATTAAGAGATATAGCTTATTTCATTGTAATTTTTTTTTTTTTTTCTGTTGAAAATATAAGATAAAATATCATTAGCCATTTTTCCGGTACATTTAAAAGCCAGACTAAGGCTGGCAGCGAAGCTGCTAGTCATTTATAAATACATCAACTTGAGGATCTTGCGAAACGTTAATTTTTTTTTTTTTTTTTTTTTTTTTTTTTTGGTCACTTAAGTGTATATTTCATTTATATTGTAGAGTCATTAGACTTTTTTTGAAGGGGAGCAGTCTCGAATATAGTCGGTAGTCATTAGAATTTTTGAAGTAGGAAACACGAAATATGAATAATGCCCTCGCCGGGACAAGAACCTGGACCTCTCGAATACGCGCCAAGCCTAATTAATTTTAGATCTCAAGCTTACAGCTACGAGCCCAGGAAATGGCATCACCGACAGCTACAAGTATAGCTGACTCGGGTTTTACATCGAGCTAATTGTTTTCGAATGAAAATAAATATTTGAGTTATTCCTCAATTTTTCTTTCCGTTGTAAATCTAAAACTACCTAATAAATAATGATATTAATAAAACTAAATGTAAGTATTGGCAGAATATAGTATCCGCTTCTTAAAGAAGAGGGACTTCAATCAGATGCCTTCGAAATGTCCAGAAACTACCAGTCTAATGCCAAACTAAGACTGAATTCTAATTTTTAAAATTTGATTCGCTTCTCTTCCAACTGAATGCAAAAACAGTTGAAAAATAATTGGCTGAACTGTGCTTATTAGCCCAAAGAGCGTTAGCCCAGAAGGGCTATTAATTTCAAAACGGCATTTTGCGTTAGATTCACTTTTCAAGCTGTTGCAATTAAATATTATCGCCATGTATTAAAGAAACTACATAATGAAGAATCTGCATGAATGCTTGAATGTTTCTCGCATTCTGGAAAAACAACGCTACCTACAGCCATCTAATTTTGAATAACGTAGTCCTCCAACTGAACATGGGCAACTGGAAGCCCGAATTTTGAATTTATTTTATTATACATTTAAAATTTTCTAAACGTTTAACGAATTTTTGATTAACAAATTCAACAATTTGAAAGCGAGCAATGGAAACACTATACGGAAAAAAAAAAAAAAAAAAAAAAAGACATTTTTCCAGCGCGCGAGACTGCGTATCCGAAATTCTAAAGATATGCTGTTTCTAAATATTTTGTGATATTGTTGTTGAATTGAATTTTATGTGTTTTAAGTGCGAAGAACATGATATTTAATGAATAAAGGTAACACACAAAACGCCCTTTTGAGTGTAATAATAATATCTGAAGGCTTTCAGATTATTATTTATTTATTTATTTATTTTTTCATTTAATTTCGCCAATGCCTTTTGCATGTATTCTGAGTTGTAACACTTTTCCTTAGTCATTTATCTTTCAAAGGAATTCTCATAATAATTTATTATTAAATTTATTCTTTTTCCTAAGCCTTTTGCTTGATGAAATATTTCACAATTTAGGCTACTAGCCTACTATTCTAAAAATAGTGCGTAAAAAGAAAAAGAAAAATCGGATTACCTGGATTCCGTATGGATTATAATACTCAAATGAAACAAAGCAGATTCATTCCCTTTGTTTAGAGTTCCTCAGTTTATAATCCAGGTGATTCGATGTTTTTTCCTTTACGAATTGTGCACTTTTATTACATCGTATGTAATGCTACATTAGAAGTTTTTTTCTAATTATTTTTCTTACTATTAATCAATTTAAAATTTGTAGTTAATTATATTTCATAACTTAGCACATGTTAAGCTTAACAACATTCATTTGCCCTTACATTTGCTGGGCTTGTCGAATGAATATTTTTTCATTTCAAAACTTTGTTGCTCTAACTTTATAGATTTTAAGAGCTAACTCTTCTTTTTATTTTTGTTTTATGCTTTTTGGATCAAATTTCCCTTTGTTATTATTTTCGTTTGCTGGATTACTTCTGTTTATATGTTTGCTTTTTGAGCTGAAAGAGAATATAATTTTTAAATCTAATGATTTTTAAGCTTTTTTGCTTGCTTATTATTTTAATTTTATATTAAAAAAAGCCTTTTTTAAATTTATTTATGATTTTGATGGAATATTTTGTACTATTTATTACGTTACAAATTACTGCAAAAATTACAATTATTACAATAATGCAAATTTTTGATATATATATATGTGTGTGTGTATGTAAGATAAGAAATATGAAACAAATTTCTTACTTTAATTGGTAATAGCTCCTTTTATCCTTCATTTTATTTTGCGTGTTTTCACTTTTTGTCCTAAAAACAGTAACTATACATACTATATTAATAATCTAAACTGCGTCATTTCAAAATTAATCCGCATCATAAAATCTTATGTAACGCAGCAATGTAAATACCTTTAATTAATCATTGAATAAGACTTTTATTAAGAACCGAAACTTTTGTATTTCTCTTCCGCACGCTTCATCTGAATGAGCTGCTTCTCGGTTGCTTCATACTTTTGCAACTTTCCACTTCTTTATCAGTATGATAATTCTTTAAGACGAGGGCGGTGTAACGCTCGTTTTACTTTTGTTAGCCTAGTGAAACGTGTGTCAAGCAAATATGCATAAATGAAAAGGAAATAAGTGAATTCGGCTACGTCTGCAAGTCTCTCCTTCTTTACGCATCCATCTAACAAGTTACGTCATAAATCATGTCCAAATTCATCTGCAAGTTTTTGCTTCTTTATGCATCTACCACGCGAGCAATTTTGTCACATATGTATGAATCGCTCAATTTTCAAAAATCAATAATTTACATGTCTTTTTTTTTTTTGTGTGTGAAGGATGTCACTATATCATCACTTTGAGAGTTCATTTTATGCACAATTATATCTTTCGAATAACGCTGTATGTTATTTCATCATACTTTTCAAGATTAATCCAATAAGTAACAACAACGACATTAGAAAAACGCGGACCGATTAACACTAGCCTCTTTTAACAGCCGACTTCCTTTTTTGCAAAGAACGACGAGATATGCTTCAAGAATGTTGAAAGAATTATTCTTTCACTAAATCATTGCCGTTGAACACTGCAAGAAATGCCGCCTCTTCTGCAGGCGGAATTTTATTTTAGATTTCATGGGGAGCGGTTTCATCATCCCGCCCTCCAGTGGCGGGAGGTGCAGTTTCTATAAGCTCTTTTTTGAAAACTGTCGCTGATAAGGGATGGAGCTGTGTCAGCAGTTTGAGTCAGGGTCGGTCGTCAAGGTAATCTGATTTTCCGCAAGGAAAAGCGAAATGTGCAGATTGTCACGTAGGGTAGACACATTGTGAAAGACAGCATTTCTCGCAAGTCTTGCGTTGTTTCTTAATTCGGAAACAAATTTAATTTATAACCGCAGTTTCTCTTCCCACATTAAATTACGGATGCATATTAAAATTTTTGCTGTGACGAAAATGTGGCTAAATTTATCTGGATGGTTTATATTTGAAATTAATTATTTTGATTCTACAACACGACTTTAAAAATTTCAGATTTCTCTCTGCTCAGTTTTTTGAAGTCTTCGTCTTTCAAATCAGTGTAACTATTAGTTAACACTTTATATTCGATTAAACCTCTCATGCTAACCACCCCTGAATGTAGCAAATATTTCTACGAATATAAATAAACACTGGTATTAAACATCACCTCTTTAAAGAAACCGTCAAAAACGTCTGGAACCGTGAGTGGTCATCTCAGGAACTTTCACTGAATTAAAAAAAAGAGAGAGAGAGAGAGAAAGAAAGACAAACGATTCTGCATTTAAGTAAGTAATGTTTGACTTTAAAGACATCTTTTATTAGTCAAAATGCAGATGTTTATAACTATCAATTGGAAATGTCATAAATTAAATGTATTTTGAATTATGCCTTATAATATTAAATATAAAATAAATATTTTAACAAGGAAACTCATTTATTGCATAAATCGCATACTTTTATTAAAGATTTACAAAAGAAAAGGATAAGGATTTTACATCATGTCGAATGACCACCTAAGCCATTTAAAAACCGCTAATATTCAATCACTTCATCCTGCTGCGCAGTTGACTGCACCCCACTGCTACAGCCTTGGGCTCGGGTTTGAGAACATGTGGGCTTATAATAAAATAAAATTATAATGAGAGAATCCCAGTATAAATTCTTTGTTACAAACTCTCTTAACGCCGGTGTAGGAAAAAGGAGGTAGAACAGCCTCAGATCCGTCCCCCCCCCTCCCCAATGTTTTTTCATCAAAACTGGGGCGAAGCTTTTCCTTTCTTGCGGTTGGTCACCAATGGCATAGCTAGATGGGAGGCAAATTACCATATTGAATTAAATTGGGAAGAAATATAGTTTTCACATTTTATTTTAAAATAGTTTAACAGATAAAATATTTAAAGAAATCACTACTAGATTTCAACAGCAGCATACTCTTGCTATACCTATTTTTTTCTGTTAAAACTTATTTCACAGTTTTATTTCCATTTTTCTAAAGAAAACTAAAACGTGAACGGGCGGGCCTTTTGAATTTTTGCAGTTTATTCTAAAATACTGTAGAGTCATTAAGTTATTTTGAAGCAGGAGACTTGAAAAATTAGCAATACCTTTGCCGGGACTCGAACCTGGACCTCTCGAGTACGCGCCGAGTGTGCTAACCGTTACACCAAGAAATGATTGCAGAAAGGAAGGGGAAAATACTTTATAAGAACAGCTTGTTTGGTTAGTAGGTCGGGCTGCGCTCACTTCTGGCACCTTATAATACAATCTCCAGAACAAAGTTCCAAGCATAGTAATAATACGGCAAAATTTTCTCACAAGTGCTGTAACTATTGTTAGTTGTGGAAGAATTTTCTAACTAAAATTCATTTAAAAACTACAGATGTTTATTCTGCATTTAAGAAATCTTTCTGTACAGTCTACGTAACAACAACTACAATAGTCATGTAGATCTCTACAATATCATCGATGATTCTGCTAGTAAAAAAGCTAGAAAAATAATAATATAGTTACAAAATGCTGGTATTAAAGTTTTTCTTCAAAAATAAACGTAGAGTTTTGTTTACCTAGATGTTATTTTTGATTTATTATTATTATTTATTTGTACATCGGTGGGCGTCAGCAAAAGCTCTGGCTACGTTACTGTCGGTCAGCTCCTGTGGTGAACCTTGGGCAAAATTCTCAGTCATAAGGCAATTACATGAACGATGGTTTTTTTGTCATTTCCGACGAATGTATTTGCAATTGTCCGATAACTAAAAAACCTGAAAGTTTTCAGATTTTATATAACTCCGAAAGAGACGTTCCTTTTCATTACACGTTTCGACAGCATTTGGCCTAGTGCTCCTTTGCGCTAAAAATGTTTAAAAACAACCTACCTTTAGAATTTCCGATAGACAGTCTCGGGCGCTGCAGATAAAAATATTTTCCCCGTACAGTGCTGCCGTTGCTCGTTTTGAAATCGTTGAGTTTGTTAATCAAAATTTCGTTAAAGTTTTACAAAATATGAAACAGATAATAAAGCAAATTCAAAATTCGGTCGTCCAGGTGCCCATGTTCGGGTGGACGATTACGTTATTCAGAATTTGATGGCTCTAGGTTTTATCAAAATGCGAAAAACATGCATGCATTCATGTAGATTCTTCATTATTTGATTTCTTGTATATTATAGGGCGATAATATTTGGTGGCAACAATTTAAAAAGTGATTCGCCGTTTATAGTGAAACGCCACAAAATGCCGTTTGGAGACTAATAACCCTTATGGGCTACCGCCGCATTGGGCTAAAAATAAAGACGTCTGGAAATTATTCTGCAGAAATGTCCTCTGCATCATACAGATCGATAAATAAAGATATCAGCCAGTTTCGTTGAGATTTTAAACTTTATTTATCGGTTAGATGAAACTGATATTCATTAATGTTCAGTCACAAGCCAAAATCGACAAATGCTCATATTTAAGCTAAAGAAAAGCATATTCTTCCACTGTATTCAAGGAATCCATTTATTAGTATGAAAGCACGGTTTTTACGCCACGCGTAGAAAAATATTCCCGTTCTTTTCAAATACTGCTATCTCATTTCATGACATTTTCTAGGAAAAACATTCAGAAATGTCACGGAAAAATCTGCTGCGTAATACATACTTTTGTGCTCGTCAACTAGTCTGATTTATCTAGACAAATAAATAATATTTGAGTATTTGTCCGTTATTCTGAAATCTCTCACGGTTACTCTGATGATAAAGAGACCAATCCCTTAGCTTTCAGGGTTCATACTTTTTTGTTTATTTGTTGTTTCAAAACTCAAAAACAATTTCAGAAGAAGAAGGAACTTCGCGTGCATATTCGTGTCTTCCCAGTTTAAATTTCTAGGTCATTTTGTATTATTTGCTCGTATAAATAACTGACTTCTCATAAATAAATACTAAAATGCAAATAAAATTTCTTATAAGTACATAGTTTGTCAACGAGTTCAATTTTCTCAGCCAAAGCCAGCCAAAATATAACTAATGACGATGACTAACCCATCCTAAATATTCTCAGTTTAGGAAAAGAAGTTTAAATGGTCATTTTGTTTGATTTACGGTTCCGCTATCTATTGTAACGAATTCAAAAACAGAAAAATGAGAAATTCAGACTGTAGAACAATCCACAAAGCAGTTTATTGCAAAGAAGAGTATAAGTCTTCCCATTCGTCGAGTTACTAACCGAATTTGACATACGTAGATGATCTGTCATCTTTAAAGAGAAATATTGCTTTAAAAGGCTGCATTCTGAGAATATTATTTTTAAAAAAAATCAGAACAGAAACAAGGAAATTACAGACCATTCCAAGAAAAGATTCTTTAAAGTCATGAAAAAGATGTGTAGCATGAGAAAAGGAAAATAAACAGAAGGTTATGATAAAAATGTTTTCTTTGAATCTCTATCCTCCTTTCTTTATGCAGCAATCTTAAAATAGTGTAAATGAATTCATTGTATAGCAACTCGCAACTGCAGTCAGCTCAGGATCATCCAGAGGCGGAATAACCAGAAAAATTTCTCCACCCTCCCAAGGGTGAGATTGTTTATTGAACTATCGAAAAATTGCTATTTGCAAACCATTAAAATAAAACAAAGCTGCAAAATTACCTCCTAAATATTATAGGAGCATTTAGATGACACTACAAATGCCACAATTGGTATAAGCAGAACTTCCATTGCTACGCTCGGATTTTGCTAGGTGACGGAAACTAGTATAAGAATTTTTCCTAAATTTTCTAACTTTTCAGCTTTATGCCAAATTAATATAAGGATCGACCGTTGACAACTAAACAAAAACGAACCGATATCCAGTGGTGACTTTGATATGTCAGATGCGCATTACCGTACGGGAAAATTTACCACCCTTGATTGGCTACGCCTCTGTTCCACAGGTGTGAATTAATCTAAGTACCTTTTAGGCTAATGACTTTTAAACGTGATTATGAAACTATAACAGCTAAACCCCCGTCGGAACACTCCCTGTGATGTCATAGCATTGAGTTGTTTTTATCCACAATAATTTAACTGCACGCAATCCGGAATACATAAATATTGTTAAATTACCCGTGAAAAATAAACTGCTCAATCTTAAAAGTGTTAGAAATGTACAGCCATAAATCATGTTTCATTCTGAGTTTCATCGAAATGCAAGAGTAATGAAAACAAAAAATTAAGATCAGTAGAGAGACAAGGTCAAATGTTTCTCATGCCGATGCTTGAAACTGTGATATAGCTTAGCTGTCTGCTCAATGACGTCACTTACTCCTAAAATTTGGAGAAACCTTGCTTTGGAGCATGATGTCGACGTCACCATAGTGCTTAACCTTGATCGCGAAGAGCAAACCTTGTAATGCAGTATGCTTGTTCTAAAATCTCAAGTTTTTTTTTTTTTTTTTCCCACTCAAAAGCAGTTTTTCAGTATATATGTATTACTATCAATATAATGACATTTTAGAAATACAATTAATTAAAATTAATTTAATTTTATATCGTACAATAAAGTACAACAAAGCTCGTATAGGATTTTAATAATTCAAGGATGTTAGAGATTGGATAAACATTATCTTCATACTTAAAGTCAAATCAGAGTTGGTAATCACATGAATGAGAGGGATGAGCATGCCAATTTTGCACAGCTATTCATTGTTTTGATGATCTGATGATCATCAAAACAGAGACTTAAGCATCAAATCTGATGCTCAAGTCTGAGATCGGCACATAAAACAAATCGATTTCGGTCCTTCAATTTTATTTGAATTAGTGACGAAAATCCTTTCTCACACAGATACATAAAAGCTAATTGAATTATAACTTTTAAAGCACATTTGTACAATTCACTATATTTCGTTTTTATTGGTAATGATCGATGATGGGAAGAACCATAATCATAGTGTCTTAAAGTCCAAAGGGGCAATTTGCCCAGAAGGACTATTAATTTCGTTTGGGCGTTTTGCGTCGATTCACGATAAACGTTGTTTCACTTTTCAAACTGTTGCCAAAAAATATTATCGAGCTGTATTATATTCTAAAAATTTAAATAATGAAGAATGTGCATAAATGTATAGATGTTTCTCGCATTGTGATAAAACAACGGTACTAGAGCCATCGAATATTGAATAACGTAATCCTCCTGCGAATATGGGCATCTGAAAGACCAAATTTGAAATTTGTCTTATTATCGATTTCATATTTTGTAAAACTTTAACGAATTTTTTATCAACAAACTCAAGGCTTTCAAAGCGAGCAATGGCAACGTTGTA